AGATATCATTGGGATGAGAAGTAGATCTTACCCATTTTTGAATCCAGAAGAGAATGCAAATACAAAATATATTGGGTTTGCCATGTAGTCAGAGGTATTGAGTAATAGATGAAATTTTTTACTGCAGTCAGATATTCAGTATTCATATCTCATTGTCACTTTGATATCATTCACTTCTGATTCAAGAGTTTTAAGTCTTTCGTTCAGACAGCACAGGATAACAGCAGAGCCTATTCAGTGCATAAGTTTATTTTTAACATAGTCAAGGAATGAAAAACGCATAATCTAGCATTTAACACACTGGAAAAAATGTTTTGAAACAAAAAATTAGTTATTAACAGTACAGAACAATTCATGTTTAAATAAACTGCAAATTATCACTTAACTTCCTCAGCTGAATGGTGGTTATTAAAGAGAGTTTTCTCTGCAGTATTTTGTTAATATGGATATGGGGGAATAACCGATATACAGCAGAGTGAATGTTTTCTAAATTATATGCCCTATGGATCATATGATTATATACTATTGATAGGGTAATATCATTGGCATAAACTTTTAAACTTCATAATTTCTTCTATTTTCATGCTACAGTAGAAAAAATAAGCCTAGACTTGTGGAGTACTATGATAGTTATTTACGTTATAAAACAATTGCTTAGGAAAGTCTGTTCAAAACTTCTAATCACTCCTAGTGTTTTGGAAGTTCTAGACTTTAGCTGTTAAAATAAAGGTCACTCTTCTATGGGTATATGAAAAAAATTGGTAAATTTGTTCTGTAATGAAGACTAAATGTGTCTCAGCTTTCAGAATATGGATAAAAATTTTTATGGAAAAAGCTTTGACTTCTGTGACAGGGAAATTATACAGACAGTTCATTCCTTTGATTGCTCTCAAACAAGTAGTAGTGCTCACTAGATTACTTAAGTATGAAACATAAGGGAACTATCTTTCAGTCTTGTTCCAGTCCCACTGCCTATTTCTGTCTTTGATCTCAGTGCCAAAGCATTTCGGAAGGCTGAAGTGTTGATGAGGTTAAACAGATTTTGGCAGTGCTGGAGACTACTCCAACTAACTGCTTTCATTTTGATACAGAAATTACTGTGTTAAAACCTGTGGCCTGCGCTATACAGAAAGTGCTAATCCATTATCATCCCAATGTCTTTTCTATTCCCACTGGAATAAAATGAGTAAATAACGGAGGGTTAATTTATGTGTGTGTGTTTTCTAATCGTAGGTCTGGTGCCCAATGTCACCTGAATTTTACAGAGAATATGTAGCTATCAAAACAAAGAAAAGGATACTGCTGTACACCATGAACCCAAATAAATTCAGAGCCTGCCAGTTCCTGATTAAGTTTCATGAGCGACGGAATGATAAAATCATCGTATTTGCTGACAATGTGTTTGCACTGAAGGAATATGCAGTCAGACTTGGGAAGTAAGTGTTCACAACCAATGATGGCACTGTTGTTTTCCTCCTTTCATGAAAATTTCTGTGCAATCTCATAGCTTTCAATAGTCTTTGATATTTCTTGTAATGCTTTAATTCCAATCCTCCTGTATAAAAAGGAGCTCAGGAGGGTATTGTTGGATGGATCTTACTGGCACTGCAACATTATTTCTGTGTAGAACAGTTTGAAAAGAATCTCTGTTTAGCACTTGTTTCAGAGGAGTTTACATCCAGTATTTCTGTTAAGGACAGTATTTCTCCGTCTATTATTATTTTTGTTGTTATTATCATCATCTTCATCATTATCCAGTTGAAAAAGGAGGGGCTTCTAAAAATATCACTAGAACTGTTTTCTCTAATGAATGGTAGCTTCCCCTGTCTCTGAGACACAGGTTTTCAAATATGCACACTCTGGATCTTTGAAGATCTTTTGGGACCCAGGACCTTCCTCTTGAGGTTGTCGAAAGGTCTCAACCCTGTCTAAAAAAACTAAGACAAGTTTTCTGGGGATGTGTGCTGTACCAGTGCACTACCTAGAACTGTTGTAATTGTTTAATAAACAAAAGGAGTATATTTCTCCCGAGAGCTCCTGGCTACCTTAAATGCCTGTAACATGAGTGCAGTTATGGAAGGTTGTACAAATAGAGTTTAATGAGGGCTCAGCATCATTGTGTTTGTAGGGTTTGGGTACAAATGATCAAGGAGAGTTTGCCAGGATCAGGCACAGAGATTATTGGGGAACATAAGCATAGAAGTTGGCCTCATCTGTTCTTGGACAAGCCCAAAGAATGTCTTGCTTGCTGGAAGCTGTGGGGCATTTGGATGGTGTATGATTTAATGTCTAGGAATTTCAGCAGTACTCCTTAGCAAAACACAAACAAGTCTTACTCTTTCCAACTTCCAAAATTCATGATCAGTTCTGAGTGTACTTTAAGAGCCGTGTGGTGCTGGTGTGCTGTGACATCAAACAGGAAGCCGAGCTAATGGTGCTGGATGAATTCCAACACCCGTGGTCTCTTTCATCATTTTTTTAATCTGTCTGGACAGAGATTAGCTGTAATGATGCCTCTGGAATGTCCCTAGCAGTGTTCAGTGCAGCACAGACAAAGCCTTTAGCAAAGGGCATGCTGGGAGGGGTGATGCTACATAGCACAGCAGTTATAAGTGGGGTAGATGCAACAGAAGCGTGGCAGGAAAACCAGTTGAAGAAATAGTAGGTGCTCCCTTTTGGTGTTCTTGAGTGAATTCTCTGTTTCTCTCATCATTCATGGAGCTCCAGGTTATCTGGCTGTCAGTGTTACCAAAAAAGGAGGCTTGCAGTGCTTGATGAAGGTGAGGGAGTCTTTGTTTTAACCAGAGATATTTGTATCATCATTTGCTGTGAGCAGCTAAAAGAAAGGGAACTATTGTTTTGGGTGGGGCAAGAATTACGTGTGTGCTGAGGAGAGCAGCCCAGCACATAGGGGCGAGTGCCATGCAGAGGGCAGGAGCACAGTTCCCACTGCACTTCTCATGGAAGCATGCAGGGTGGGTGGGCTCCTGGATGGATGGAGAGGTAGCCACAGTCTGGCTGTTACTGCTGACTCCTCCCTTAACTCCCTTTCCTTTGGTACTGGGGAACCATCAGGGAAAAAACATGCACATGACAGGAATTATTTTGACTGTAATTTTTGGGGCCGTAGACTCAAATTTGCTTAGCCAGCTTTTCCTCTGTCATGAGTCTGTCATCCAGTATAGAAGAGCTCATGTGCTGGCTGGTTTTTACTGGTGTTAGAACTATGTTTAAATCACTGTTTCTGAAGGACTGTGCCTCTGTGGTTTTGTCAGTTAATGGGAGAGGGATCTGTCTTTGCAAATCCCTCAAATGTCTTTTTGCAGTGAGGAAAACGAGTAATTAAAAAAAAAATCCATCTAGCATTGAATGTTTCTAGGTTCAGGAAAGTACTTAGATCTGTGTCAATGAATCACTGTCAAGTAGAATCTGGACATTTTAAAGTGGAGGATTGATAGCCAGGAGTTTGGGGTTTTTCTGTTCTTAATATAAAATGTCTTTGAATCCCTTCTTGGTGGTCTTAAGAAAAGAAAGGCTCACAAATGCTTTAGTTTGAGTTTAAATCTACCATTTAAGTTTTGGGGATTAAAACCATAACAATCTAAATAATAAATGAAATTTAAAAGGAGACTTAAAATATTAGTGAATGCTACTAATTGAGTAATAATGGTATTTTTTCAGAGTTAACTCATTTGCCACCTTCAATTTTTAGCTGTATTTTTCTAAATACCTGGTTAAGTACACTAAATAGAAAAATTAGATTAGAATTGACTATGATTTTTTGCTAAAAAACACAAACTAGAATAAAGTTTATAGTAAAGACAGTAAGAGGAGCCAATGAACAGGAATTAGTTAATAAGAATAGAAAACCCTAGTACTATGCACTGCATGTTTATGTTCAGCTACCATTCATGTATGTGCAATATTAAATGTTAAATGAAAAATTTGAACTTGGTTCCTTGTGTTAGAAATAATGTATGGAAATGTGAACAAAATAGAAACTGTAGAACTTGATTCCTGTTGTTTGGAAATGCTTGTTAACCAGCATTTGGAAAAGTAGTGCAACAGATGACAAAGCAGTGCTGTCCTGCATGCCTTTTTTTTTTTTGTGTGTGTGTGGGCTTTGCTGTTTCAAGCTTTTTAGTTTTTCCAGCTCTGTTCTGAAAACAGCCAGACCCTGGGAAATTCAGACTAGTTCAAGTTACTCATGAAGTCTGTGGGCAACTGAGAGTTTGTGTGAACCTTCAGGACTGAGATACTGACTGTTCCATGTGATTCATTGTCAAATGTTAGAAACCTTAGGTGAAATGCCACTGTGAGCTGCTCATGGAATGTTTGGGACCTTGTTCTCAGGCCCAGAAGGTATTAGAAGGGGCAAGAGGTTAACTTTAAAAGCAACAATAATTTTCCCAGAACAACATCCAGCCCCAGTTTATGACACTCACTGTATCCCTCATAGAGAAGCCTGGATTTTCAAGTGTTTAAATAGGAAGCAAAGGTTGCAGCTGTCACTGTGCTAACTCAGTACATTTGAGGAAAAAAGTCTCTTTATTTTAACAGCTGTCTTCAGTCTTTCATGTAGGCTTAGCAAATGTATTCGATCTGTTTATATACAGCTTCACTGGTGCTCGTAATTGCAAAACATTTGTGACAGTCAGAATTTCTGGCTGACTGGGTTGCTGCAGAGGGTTCTACAAACCACTGGGCAGCTGCCATGAAGAGCCAAACGAGTTAAAAGTAAACTGAAAGCTGTACCAAAATGTTTTGGTTTTGTATCTGTCCAAATGTGTACTGTTCTCCCTGCCATGGTACCTCATAGAAAATGAGTAAGAAATCTTGAGTTTATTTCATTTACATATGTTTTGTTCTTTTCAGACCCTATATATATGGCCCTACTGCACAGGGGGAAAGAATGCAAATTCTACAAAATTTCAAACACAATCCAAAAATCAACACTATTTTCATTTCCAAGGTAAGTGAGGACATGCGCTGCATCCTCGTACCTGTTTTCAGAGTCAAATAAAGTTACACATGCATGGTGTGCATTTGACATCTTTGTATTGCAACTAACAAAGAAAGGTGTGCTTTGTATTTATTGTTTGTTGGGGGTATATGGAATTAAGATCCTGCTTAGAGGCTGTTGCTCTGTTATAGGTGGGTGACACGTCCTTCGATCTGCCGGAGGCCAATGTTCTCATCCAGATTTCATCCCATGGTGGGTCGCGAAGGCAGGAGGCTCAAAGGCTGGGACGAGTGCTGAGAGCCAAAAAAGGTGAAGGAGGTGGTGGTTGGGCTCTGGGCCTTGGATCATAGTATCCTAGAGCAGCAGAGACACTGGATGTTCATGGTGTTTCTTTATATCCTCCTTGGATTATGTTTTAGTCAAAGAGAGTATGCCTATATACCAGTGAATGAATATGAAGTGTCTTCTGGGTCAGTAAAGCTTAGTGATGGGAAAACTTGCAAAGGAAAAAAGAAAGCTGAAAGAAAATTATGGTTTTTTCTTTGGCCGTTCCTTCACTTTTTCATTCCTTGATAATTTCCTCAGAATTAAATCATTTTTAGAGAATCATAGTATTGCTCTAAAAAGCAAGCCTCTGGAAAGCACATTTTTGATACAGCAGATTACTTGCTTGTAAAAATTGCATTTGGTTTTTGATCAGCATGTTTTTGCAAAACATGGCCAAGGAGTTTTTTGTTTAGAAAAATTATTCTTAGACCACTTTCCACTCACACTTAAGCTCTGCACACAATGATTTTATGTGCAGTTTGTGCTTGTTACAGGTGAGGCTTTGTTTGAAAATGCATACAAAACACATGTTAGTGAATTAACAAAGTCTTAATGAAACCCTGGGTTTTAAAAGAGAATCCAATGCTGTTGGGGGAATAGACCTTAAGGATTATAAGTTAAAAAAAATAAATGCTAAGCAGCCCTGGTACATCCTGGACTTCAGATAGCCCTGTGAATTCTTAGCTAAGTATTTTTGTCTTACTTATTTTAATACAAAAACACTGCAAACTTTGGTTTACATGGATAAAACTTTCCCTTTGTCTCTTTTTATTAAGCTTTTTTGATATGCATTGGTTTTGCCTGCTTCTTTACATAATAGACTTAAAAATAATTTTATCTTTCACTTTGCCTAGCAGAATAAAGAAGCAGGTTCTTCTCAGAGCACCTGGGTGATTGTGTTAATCTGCATTTCCTTTTCCTTTTTTTCTTTTTCACCTATTCTCAATTATTAAGAACAAGAGTAGGAGTTCCTATGCCGTGTCAATCAGTTTATGCAAGGTCTGGGTGCAGCTAAACTTTGCAAATAGTTATTGTGGAGACAACTTATTTAAACACCTGTTTTTAGCATTTATTCCTTTTTTATTCTTTGTCACATTGTTCCAAGTGGAACTAATCACTGAATGATTTTGTCTCCTAGGCATGGTTGCAGAGGAATACAATGCCTTTTTTTATTCTCTTGTATCCCAAGACACTCAGGAAATGGCATACTCAACGAAACGGCAACGGTTCCTTGTAGATCAAGGTTACAGCTTCAAGGTAACTTGGCCCTGCCATTTGTTATACTTGGGGCTTAATTTTCATATTCATTCATGTTAGTATTAGATCAAATATTTAAGAATTCTGGTTGTGGAATGCATTAATGGAGGTTTTCCTCGCAAGCGAGAACTGTTCCAGTATTGTTTTTTCATCTGTGGGGGCAGATGCAAGTAACTCAGTACAGCTTCTAGAAAGGTGAGTGTAACTTCCAACCAGGCACCCGCTGGAGTGAAGCGCGCATCCCTTGCATGGTTGGTTGATGTTTTTGCTGTTCAGTTGTCCATCTGTGCAGGACTCCCATTAGAGATTATCATACTGGCTGTGCATAAAGCAGCGTTATTGGCTGTTCTTGTCATAGTGGCCAACAGCAATTTAGACAACTTCCAAAACTTCAGAAGTCACAAGTAATTTTCAAAGAGCCCCAGCCTCAGACCAGGATTTCACTATAGGGAGAAAATCTTTTTCCTAGTGGCTAAAGAGAACACAACAGGCAGGACTCATCCATCCTACATTCACGCATCTGACTCTGGGAATTAGGTCTAGCAACCCGTTCCTAAAGAATTATCTTCCAGGGATCTTTCTCCACATGCTAGTCTTGTGCACCCTTTCCACAGTGCTTCAGAGGCTGCAGTAGTACATAAGGCCAGTCAGGATGCAGAGATGTTGATAGGGTGGCTCTGTGTTCACAGAAACTGTTATGCTAATGGAGGTCTATGGACTGTGCTTATTTAGCTTCCACCAGCAGTTTGGCCTTCCTCTTTTAATTTTCTCGGCATGAAATGAAGTTTATGACCAGAATCACTGGGTTGGATGTTAATTAGTTTAAAAATGACAGGCAAAGGCTTACTGCACAGTAGAAATCTTCTTACCTACAACTCAAAGATAATCCTCCAAATAGAGAACATTTTCAGTGTTGACAGTTTAAGAGAGCCAAGACTTGAAAGTCAGAATTTTCCCCTAAAGTCCCTTTTGTGAAGGACTGAGTGCTGTCTCATTTCTCTAGACAAACTTGATCACCCCCTGTACTTCATTTTATGATGTATCTCTGTATAGATATATAGATATATATGTGTATTTTATATATATGTGTGTGTGCATGGATATATATATATAGGTATATATATATCTAGATGTAGATAGATAGATAAATAGATATGTATATTATGTATATATACATAATATACATACATATATAGATCTCTATCTATATATCCTCCAAACATAAAATCTCATTTCACCAAAGCTCCTCTATTTTATGGATTTCATCGTGTATCTCATTGAGCTTTCTTTTAATGCATGGGCTGCCCCATATGCTCATGTGTTAGGCTGTTAAAGGCAGCAGAGTATCATGATAGCTCTTGGGTATAGGAGCTTATTCCTTTACAAAACTGGAGCTTATTGCTCTGCTTAGAAGCCTTCCCAAGAGAAACATTGCTGAGGAAAGAATAAAAAATAAGGCTCCCATATCTGGCTCTGTATCTGTGCTATCTGTAGTGTTAAGCTGTTCAGACCATTAATAAAAGTCAAAGACAGTTCAACAGGATATGGAATCAGAAATCCTTGTCTTGGTTTTGAATAGCTAACAGTGAGGAGGAAGAGCCCTCACCTTGTACTGTGCTCTATTTCTTAGGTAATAACAAAGCTGGCAGGCATGGAGGAAGAAGAACTTTCATTTTCAACCAAAGAAGAACAGCAGCAGCTTCTCCAGAAAGTCCTGCAAGCATCTGACCTGGATGCTGAGGAGGAAGTAGTTGCTGGAGAATATGGTTCAAAGTCAGCTCAGGTAATTCTCTGAAAAGCATGTCCACAGATGGGACAGAACTGGACCATTTAATTTCCATCCAATTCTGTGTGTAATACTGTCATTGATGACCTGGTATCTTTTATGAAACATTAGAGAACAGATTTATTTTTTAAGCTGCATTAGCTTTTAGCTATTGGAATAATTCACTTTTTGAGCACTAGGAAGAAATTTGATATGGAATTCATGTCCTCCATCATATTTGAAGGAGATGATGACACATCTGTTGTTACAGATCTTCACATATATCTCCTAAGTCACATGCAATGAAAATAATTTTAAAAACTTTGAGATACAAATATGTCACAGCATATACTTTTTTTTGTGTGGCACTATGCTCCTTGAATCATGCCCTCATTTCCTCATGCCCAGAGTGCAGAAGCATAAGGGCCACTTTTGTTCAAGAGAAGAACTTGGAAGGCTTTTTGGCATTAGGGTCACTCAGTGGGCAGTGCTGCCCAGTAGCCAGTGGGTGTCAGTAGGTTAGAGCTGGTCTGTCTGATCACGCACTAAGAACATGCCAATTCTCCTTGTACCTGCAGGTGTCCCGTCGAACAGGCACAATGAGCTCGATGTCTGGAGCAGATGACACTGTTTACATGGAATACCATTCCTCACGGAGTAAGGCATCTACAAATAAACACATCCACCCACTGTTCAAACGCTTCCGAAAGTGATGCCCTCCACGTGTGCATTTTGTTAAAACTGTGGATCCATGTACCTGCTTCCTTAACTGAAAAGATGGAATTGAAATTTCTGACAGGTCCTTTAAAAGAATTTTTTTATATGAATCTGTATAGCCACATATTTACTTAGCAATGTATGTGCTCACATGGATGAATGTGAAAGGAAAGAAGGAACTAAATCTTACCACAGGAATAATACTGTCCAGTGACTGGATCCTGGTTATACCTGTCTGATTTTCAGGGTAATTAATAGATTTTATTTTTATCAGCTGAAGACTCTTTTTCGGAAGAATTCTGAAAAGGTTTTGTAAATGAAGTTTGTACTGATGTTTGAAATATTATTTATGTGATTATTGTGTTTGCTCAACTAAATGCTGGTTTTTTTAAATGCTTAAATAAAAGTCATTCATTGAGCTGAACGAATCCTGGAAGGAGCACTTTAAATAATATTTTTAAACTGGGAGCTAATTTATACTTGCGACTTAACCTGTCTTAAAATTCTAACAAATTGGTCAGAAATATTTTGAAGTTTGAAGACGAGAAAGAGAGACTCTCTTTCCAAAGTAAACTTAAGGAAAGCATTAGTAAATACAAATAAAGTCTGTGCTCTGTTTTCCTCATTTTCTTGTTACTGTTGAGAAGTTGCTAAAATAAAAGCTGTTTCCCTCGTCATTTATATTCTATTTATTAACCATGCAATAAAACCATCGTAACTGCTAAACAGTGCAGTGTCACCACGGAAGTTATTACTGAATCAAAAAGCGTTTTGACTTCTACCAAGGTGAGTTGGAAGAATGCGTGAAGGAAAGATTACTGAGTTTGCGGGTTTTTTTAATGAAGACTGCAATATAATTCTAGAAAATTAGAGGAGAAATGGTGGTGGTTTGTGGCAGAAGAATGCTTTTTAAATAACATCTGCCTTAATGCTGTAACAGTTACACTACTTGGTGTTGTATTACGAGGTGGAGTTTTTTTGCTGATAGAGCTTTAGGAACAACCTATGAAAGAACATTGATCTTGATGTGTTGGTTCAAACTAGGTTACTATAAATCTTTACCATACTGGAAGGAGCATGTATGGTACGGCTATCCTGGTTATATGACAAATATTCTTCAGAAAAACACTGATTCTGTTTCTTATTAGCATGAATTCACAAATTGAGAGTGTGGAAATACTGGAAGCAGAATTCAGAAGAGCTGGTGCTTATTTTCAGTCTGAGAATCAGGTAATTTTGAAAAGGAAACTGAATTGCTTCAGTTTAAACTCTGGGCTCAGAGCCCTACCCTGTAACACATGGTTCTTTCTCTTGTGCTGAGTCTTCTGCCTCACAAACTGGAACCAGCCAGTGCTTGAGTGGCTTATATGGAAGAGATGAATGTGCAGTATTGTGGTGCTGATTTCCTCTCCCCAGTTTAAAGCGTTATTTAGTTCTGATGGTAGTTTGGACCAGCTTCAGTGGCAACAGTTAGTAGCAAAATGATAATTTAGTATAATGGGAGGGGCCTGTGACAGTGGGATAGCTGAGCAAGTCAGCCAGTGTCACCCTGCGTAATTCTTTCTTAACACGCTTTATGAATTGCTTTGGAACTATTCTGCACCCTTCATACACTTGGAAAAAAACCTACTAAATGTGGAAATGGTTTAATATTAATTTCTGTAATTGTGGTACTAATAGTAGCTGGATTTAGGACAGTGCTCTAGTTCTTGTGTAGTAAATCATGGCCATGATGACTAATGATCTTACTCTTCTAAGTAATGGGTCTGTGTGGGATGCAGTACATTCACCATCAAGTAAAGCACAGTAATTTTACAAGGTATGAATGACTCCATGCATCAGTGATAGCATCTTGGTGTTCAAACTGTAGGATTAATTACTTTGATATTAACTGCAGTAATTATTGCCTGCTGTTATTCCAGACTGAAGCTGCAAGTGGCAGACTGGTGTGCATTTACTCACTGCAGGTGAGTTGCTGCTGCACAAGGTAGCACCTGTACCAGAAGCTTGTGCTTATGTGCTCTTCATCCTTGTGGCAAACCACCAAGAGTGTCTGTATGAAGGCATAAAAGCTTGAAGGGTGATGCTGCTACTCATCAAAATGACCTTCTACACTAAAAGGGCACAGTGACCACGGGGTGGCGTTTCAGCAGCGTTACAGCTCAGCAAAGACCCAACTACACCCAGATTGTGTTTCTCTGGCTCCTTACACCTCCTGATGGTCATCATTTTTAGTAGTGCCATACTTTTTTCTAGTGTGTTTAAAAACATGGGACTTCAAGGCAAGTTCTCAGGATAACTTTAGTGTTGTACACCGTAAGAATCACAGGGCAAGGATCTAAACCTATGAGAAGTCTACAAGTAGAGCTGAATTCTTTACAGTAGGTTCATGGGGGTTTTGTTAAGTGCTATCAGCACCAGGCACTGTTAGCTTTTTCTGATTTAAGTATCTTCATATTCAATTAGTATTTTGCATGTTAAGTTCAAAATTTTTCCCCTTTTCAGGAAAATGCATGGGAATTTTAGAAAGCATTTAAAATTCCAAAGGAGTAACTTCACAACTTGAAAAGATCTTTCAGAAGATGGGTTTGAGGACAGTCAGAAATGGCAAAAATCATGACTAATTATGGCTTTTTTAGTGAAGAGGTGTTTTAAACTACGCTGAAAATTTTTGCTTACATTTCTGACATTTTGGCCCTTTTCAGCTTTTCTTCCTTACAAATGTTCTGAAGAGCCTGTCTGCATAGTCTTAGCTGAGGGTGTTACTTGGGCAAAGTTAAATGCCTCTGATCAACTCTCTTTTACTTCCATAAATTGTATTTGTAGATGATTTATACTTGTAGCTATTTAAACAGTTACGTAAAACAGTACAATATTTATTATACTGGATGTCATAAAATGATGTTCAAATAATTACAAGCCAGATATAGCCAAGAGAATAATTCTAAAATAATAAGAATAATTCTAAAAAAACCCAGAATTCCTGTTAAGATGATAATGTAGCAATTGACTCTGAATACTGGTGTTATTAACACAAAGAGCTTCAACTGAACTTTGTCAGAGTTCAAGCAAAGAGGAGAGCAAGTTTAAATTGGATTTAGAAATAATTAAACGAAGGTAACAAAGTACAATTAATCAGACCATTAGGGGGTCTAGACTGAGAGAACAGCATGACTGTGGATTTGAAGACAAGTTATCCAAAAATAATACATAACCCGAATAGCCAAGTTTAGTTTGTATTATGATCCCATTAGATAACAAAAAGTTAACTAAAACTGAAGCATGTCTGCTGTGAAGGGGCATGTGCTCCAACTTGTTTGAAATAACAAAAGATACAACTGACTTGTTACATAAAAAAATATTTTCAGACTCCAATGACCAACAGGCTGAGACAAATGTAATTGTTTATATTTAAAAAGCTGTGAGTGTGTTTCCGGGTCAGTGTTAAGACATCTGATAAATGTATAAGCTGGAGAGAAATATTTATCTTCCAAGTCACATGAACATGCAAACAAACAGAAATCTAACAATAAGTAAACCACCTGAAACACTGAGTGCCAGTGGGGTTATACAACACGGTCCCTAAACTAGGACTACTGCTACCTCCAGAAATTCCTCAGGGGAAAGCAGGTACTGTTCTGGTGAAGTACTTAAAGGACAAAACCTCTGCAACTTTTTCAAGTATCTTGGATAGAAATACTCTGTCCTACAATAATTTTGATGGAAAAGAGATAACGGTGGGAAAATAGTGAATAGTGAAGAATTCCAAATAGGGAATTAACTGGAAAAAGGTACACCCAGAGAAAACTACAATAGTTGCAAAACTGTAGCCTTTACAACATGATGTATCTAGGTTTATCTCACTAGCATATTAATACAAGCAGATGCTTTACACTATCCTAATGGTGTATGACAAAATAATAATAAAAAAATCTACCATACTGATAGCTGCAAGCAGGAGTTTTTAAGAAAAGTTCGTATATTGCCTCCAGCAATCTAGAAATTACAATATGAATATAATTTTAAAGTCTGTGTAACTGTGTCTCTCAAAGCATCCTTAGACCAATATTAAGAAACAATGTAGCTACACCACATAGAAACCGAAGAAGGAAAACTTCAGCGGTAACCTAGACTGTGATACACCCAGATGTGCCTGACAGAGGTTCTTATGAAGTCCTTAGGAAGTTCCATGATAGCAATAACATCCTGCAGTACCTTGGCTATCTACCTGAGACATCCCAAAAATACCTGAGGTACCAAGGCTACCTGAAAAAGTAACCAGAAATCTGTAGGTATGAACTAAGCCCATTATTTTATGTTTCTCTCTCTGACATCTTTAACAAAAGATGTACAGATCTGTAGGCTGTTGTCATAGTCCTGGTAGTCCTCTTTTTCAGATGAAATAAGTTTCTTAACCTCCTGCTTATGTAATTTTTTTTAAACCTTCCAATTTTTTTTTTCTCTTGCTGTTCTCTGGACTCTTTCAAGTACGATGAAGCCCATTTCAAAGACATTATGTTAGCTTAAGCCAGCATATACTTCAGCAGATTTTAAGACTTTACCATCTACTTTTTATTCTTGTGATATTTACAGTTGCATTTATAAAGACTGATGCACCCATCTAACTTCTCAGTTATTTATTTCAATGGAGTTATCAGTGGCAAGAGTAAGCATGTGCACAAATCTTAATTGGATTGCAGCCTCAAAAATATAAGTGAAGGTAAATAAGGAAAACAAAAGCTATTAACTTCAAAGCTTACTAGACTTACTTTTCCAGCAGTTTATTCATAACTAGGTTCTAAAAATGTGGATTTTACTTGAGACTTTCTTTTTTTCTCAAGTTTTACCTGAGCTTCTGATTCATTTAGAAAACAAAGTGGGCTCTTCCACATAATTTCTGAAACTAATCAACCTTTTTCAGATTATCACTAGCATATTTGGAATTACACAGAAATACACACAAAACCAACACAAACACTTTTGAAACCATGCAGACTCCTACAAAGTTGACACAAGCTGCTTGTGGAGTATATCACATCCAAAAGATAAATCATTATGCAATACAAATAGCATCCCTGGATACTGTAGTTGACAGGAACTGTTGATAAAGTTATTGTGTAAAACCATTGCTACTCATTAGTGGATACACAAATGTTTTTCATATATGTTATGGGATGATGAACGGTTCTAAGAGAACTTCTTGCAGAAAATACCCTATTTTCTAACATACAGGAATGAATTAATGCCCCAGAAAAAAAATAGCCCTACCGCCACCTTTTTAATGTAGGAGAAAGATGGGATGAGCTTTTTGCCGAATTAATCAGGGAAAGAGGGAAAAACTGAACTTTGGCTGCATGTATAATGGGTAAATTTATCTGTTTTGAATTATACAAAATAATAGGTTCGTTCCACACAAGTCTCATCCCAGACCCACCCCCCTTTTCCAGCCTTAGGGGAGGGAGCGTTAACTAATGGTCTGTGTAAACTGATGCTCATGCAGTAAGAGTTTGGAGAAGTGCTCCTTGTGCAAGTTAAAGCAGGCAGTGAAGAAAGACCAACCAAATAAAAAGCAGCTGCAGGAGCAAAGTTGACCCTTCTGAAATTAAAAGACCATGTCTTTCTCCACAAGAGTTTTGACGATGAAATGCAAACAGACGATTGAATCCGAGAGAACTTACTTTTACCAGGCGCTTTTTGCCAGCAGTAGGTTTCCTGGACTGGCCAGACTGTGCAGCAGCCAGTCCCTGGCGATGCGGAGCAGCCCGCGGGAAGAGGCGGCGAACAAAGGCGAAGGGCGCGGAGCGGAGCTGCTGGAGGCCGCCCGGCGCCGCCTGGGCAGGGTGAAAAGCCTCCACGAAATGCCCGGACCCAACACCCTCTACAACCTCTACGAGTTCTTCTGGAAGGACGGCTTCGGCCGCATTCATGAAATCCAGGTACAGCTCACTCGCTTACTTAACGCTTTAATCACGACAGGGTTACTTAAAATCTTTACTTTTCTCACCGGGTCAATCACCGCGTTCGCAGCACCGCTGCTGGGCATCGCCGCGCCGCCTTCGCGCTGCTGAGAGCCGGGATTCAGGGGATCCCCCATCCCGTTTCCCGCAGCGCTGGAGGCTTTGGCAGTTTTGTTTCGCCGGGATCACACGCTGCCCTGGGCCCCCGCGCCCCGGTGCCTCCCGCTCCGGACCCCCCGGGCTGCAAGCGCTGCCCGCGCATCTTTGTGCGCGTTGTGAACCGCTGGGGCGGCGCCTCGGGCTGAAAGGAAAAAATAATTAAAAAAAAAAAAAAGGCATTTTTTTTTTTTAACAGGGCTGTTTCACAAACTTGCAGAGGGCTTATTTTTGGCGAGCAGGGCTGGGAAGCGTGGGCTCCCCTGGAATTTCGTACTGCAGCGCCCACCCGTGCCGTGAGGCTGTGCCGGTACCCGGGGTCCTGCCGCGACCGGGACGCTGCTCCGCTGCATTCAGAGACCATTTTGTCTCTCCTACTCCAGCCTCCCCTTACATAAATACACTTCGCCCATGCAGGTCCCCTGAGGGGGCGGTAGTTGCGCCTGGCCCCGCTGCCGTCCCTTCGGCGGGAGGCGGGCGGTTTGAAACCTCCCGGGGATGCGGGACCGGGGGCTGGGAATGGCGGTGGCTGGAGCTGCCCGCCCTGCCACCCCCTCCCCTGGCCACCACGCTGGCGCGGGGGATGGGAGTGGGCGGTGGGAAGCGGGGCCGGATTGACGGCGAGAGGGGAGGGGAAGGGAGGGGAGGAGGGAGGGCGGAGAGCGGAGACCGGCTCCTGTCACCTGGCGGGTGGGAGACGGTCAAACGAACCAGAGCCGGGCGGGGATGAGAAGCGTCCCCTGGTTTGGGCATCTCCGCTGCTGTGGTGTCATAAAGATCAAAACGTGTCCTCTTCCCCGGTGGCACCTGGCGAGGGTGGGTGAGGCGCCGTCATCCCTGCGGGGGACTGAGGGAGTTGGGTGGACGAGGATCCCCCTTCCTCTGTGCAGCGCCTCGGGGATGCTGGCATGGGCAACAGTCTTACCGTAAGCCTGTAGCTATCCAGAGATGAATTCTTTTGGTTGCTTGGTCAAACGTGGGTTTCATTCCTAAAAAGTCACAGTGCATCTCCTGGGGCCCTTTCCCCATGTAGTCCAAGCGATTCTAAAGGAAACACTTTTGTGTAAAGAAGTAAAGCTGTGGTTTTCACTCTTTTGCAGCTGTGGATCTGTAATGCTTTCCACTGGCAGTACAGATTTCTCTGGGAATACCTCAGATGTGGCGCTTATTATTTTGCTTTTCTTAGTGACCTTTCCCAAATTGCTAGAAAGAGATTCAGAGTCAGCTGCAAGAGGTTCACTGCCTGGAAATTGCTGAAATTTAAGAAAAAAACAAACCAAACAAACAAAGGAAAAAAAAAGAGAAAGAGAAATAAAAACAAAAAAGAAAAAAAAAAGAACTTTGGTTTGAGAATCAAAACTGGAAAGTTAAGATTTACAAATGGCCTGAAAACATTAGAAAGAGGGAGGAAACAGAAAGAAAACCCAGAAAAGTTGCTTGGTTTTGCCAAGCTTTGTTGTATTTACCATTTTGAATTTTAAGAAGAAATGTAGGGCTCCCGGATGTATGCTGTGTTTGATGGCAGTCAAACTAGATTGCTAATGATGAATTGCTCAGCTTGATTGCTTGCTAACCAAGATGCATGCAGATGAAACTTCAGGTCATCTAAAGCTTTTGTTTCATTCTATTTCTTTTTTTTCTCTACCTCTGTGGTGGTGTACAGAATTTGAGGGGCAGTCACCATGGTCTCATAACACTAAAAAAGATGGATGCTACCACTGATTTCAAGTTCTTTCACTGTCAAAACAGTGAAAATTATTCAAAATATCAAAAGGAATGTAAGACAACCTAAATAGTATATGCTTTTTACCACCACTGGCTGATATGTCTATTTTCTTCTTTAATGAATATTATTCACAGAAAGAAAAGTGTGAAGAATTATAAGATAAGTTGCAATATAATACTAGTTTTTATTCTGTTTAAAGTCCCAAAAAATCACAGGATACCCTGTTTGCATACATGCAGAATGCAGATAGGTATTAACTGGATTAATAACAGTCTGTTAAATTTAACAATACAGTGAACATCAGGAATGAATTAATCCAAAACCCTTTGGTAACCAGCACAGCTACTTAGACGATGCCCTTCAGCGTGCACAAATATTTTTGCCCTATATCCAGAAGGGGTGGGGAAGCCGGGTGCTTTTTCACAAAGGAGGTTCTGTTCTCAGTAACATGATTCCAGTTAGTCGCGCCTACAGCAATTATGACAAAGGGAAAGTATTCTTAATTTGATGGAGTTAGATCTCTTTTGTCTTATCAGTGCTATGCAAGTGTAAGGAAAAGAAAGGTGAGGAGGGAGGGATTTCGGTGCTGGCGGTTTTAATTTATGATGTGTGAGAGGATGATTGGTGTGAGATTGCTATGTGAGGCACTAGGGTGTAATATTTTTAAGGTTTGGAACAAGGGAAAGAAAAACTCAAGTTGTGAAAGAAAATACAAAAAAGAAATCCTGCGCATTTCATTAGACATGAAGTTGATAGAACAGAGTTCAGTCTATTGAAAGTAAGAGATGTCCAAATAGTTTGTCCCTATCTGTTTCTGGTTTAAAACTAGTATTTAATTTATTTGATTGGATAGCTTGACACTTGATTTATTTACTGTTAAAATTTATTGTCCCATGTAAACCTCACTATCAGTGGAAAAAACAAACTGCTCCACAAATAGGAAAATTTGTTGAAACTGTTTTTCTGTGACTGGTGACCTGCATTTCCCTCACTCCACTGATTTTTCCTTGCATCACTCACCTCCCAATTTATGCTTTCCTTTAAAGATGCATGCTCTCAATTGTCTCCAAGTTCAGTATCCCTAAAATATCTTTAAGGCAAGAAATACTTTGGGTTTTGAGTGTGCTTGTTCACACATTCCTCTGCCTGTGGTGTTTGGTTAGGAGCAGATCAAGCAGAAATGACAACAGCTGAATTTCTGCTGTAGCATTTCCTTCATCAGGATGACTAATATGTGGGTTTCATTTGAATCCAGATGTTGATTTTTGAAAAGGGTAAGAATATCGATGTAGGAGACTTTTAATTCTGTTTAAACCAGACTGAAGTTGGCCATTGTGTTCCAAAAGAAGTGACCGGCAGAGACCACAATTGTACAAATCTTGTTTTATTTGGAAACCAGACAGAAAAAGTTCTATTTTTTTTAAGCACTTGGTACCATATTCTGAAGAGTGATTCATGAGTCTTAAGCTTGTTATAGGCAATTAAGCAATTCATCTCTGTAATCAAGACTGAGTAAAAACATATTTTACATAAGCTAATCTTGGGTCAACTCTAGACTTTCACTAGTGTGGTTGGTGTCAAACATCTTTGGTTTATAATCAGCATATCTCTGTAAGCAGATGTCTTTGGCATAAACTTTGTTCAGTTTAGCTTAATACTTTAACCAGAAATAAAGACTTTAAAATTTAATTCTGAAGTCTTAATATCTTTTGAATAACTTTTTTTCCCCTCTGAAATGATGACATATCTAAACTCCAAGTGAATTTGTGGGAATTGTGTTTCACTTTATGACCATGTCACAATGAAATTTATTTGAAATAATCAGTAAGATTTCATGGGACAGTGATAGTGCAATCTTACTGGAAAACTTTTTGGGTTTTTTTTTTTTTTATACATAATTTAATGTTTTCCTATGCTCTTCATTAATTGCCTGTTGCTTGAATCATATGATTTGTGGATCAAGCACAATATACCTCACTGCAGGAATAAGAGCTTACCTTTTCCTTTCTTTTGCAGAATTAACATAAGTCTTTCTCTAGTTTGCTCTGACAAAGCTGTCCCAAAATGCAGTTTTTCACTAGGCTGTTGTGCTGTCATTGTCCTCAGTTAGGTGTGAGAAACTTACATGTAGAGGTTTTCTATAAGCAATAAAATGATAAAGTATTTATTTACAAAAGGCATTAATTTAAGCCTATGTGCCCACATGTTTTTCATTTTTACAGACATTCTTTCTAACCTGTTTGATCTGAAGGGATGTGTTTTAAGTGCCGCAAGTCCTTTCATCTTCTCAGTATTTGGTTTCACTCAAGCTTTGTGCCTTAGAGCTTTGGGTCTTTTCAGTTAGAGGTCCTGAACAGTGTGACCTCTCTGTTTTCCTTGTGAATATTTCACAGTAATGCTTAGATGCTTTCTTCTGACACTTCAAACTGTTCCATGACCGAAAGGCTGAGGATCAAATCCTAAATGTGAGAGATCGATTCACTGTATGACAAATTGTCAGTTTCCTTTTGTGATGGTTTTCCTTAGTAATACTTGACTTCTGTTTCTCTTTGTTGGTGATATTGTAGCAAAAACACACTCAGGAATATGGAAAGATCTTCAAGTCTCACTTTGGTCCCCAGTTTGTTGTATCCATTGCAGACCGAGACATGGTTGCTCAAGTCCTGCGAGCAGAAGGTAGAGCACCACAAAGAGCTAACATGGAATCCTGGCAGGAGTACAGGGATTTACGAGGGAGAGCCACAGGGCTTATTTCTGCGTAAGTACTGTTACTCCTTCATTTTCTTTATTTTCTTGTAAAAGTTTGCTCATTTTCTGAAGGACTGTACAAGTCATCTGGGAAATCAGGCTTTTCTGTGTGTGGAAAATCGTGTGGTTAGTGGGGGAAAGATGGCAGGAATTTGTGGTGAATGCTGTGAATTTCTCTGTTTTGTGAAGTTTCCAAGGGATGGTAATGATGGGTAGTTTGAATGTGCAGGGAGATACCTTGCATAAGGCTTTCTTCAGGAATGTGTTTCAAATAGAGTTGTCTGAACCGACTCACCTGCAAGCTGTTTTGCAGGACAGGGCTTACTAACTTTGGCTCTGCACTGCACAAATGTGGGTTTATTGCTTCAGATCTAGACTGTTGCATCTGGTTGTAGGTGTGCTGTGTGGACTTGTTTGCTCAGGTTAATTTTAGATTTATTGTTCACCAAAGTGCGCCCTCAGTAGATTAATGCAGAGAAGTCACAGTATGGTCAGTTCACACTGTAGTGCATCCCCGTGCAGATATTTTTGTACACGGCTGATTCTAGAGGAGTTATCTGTCTTGAAAGCTTGCATAACCTGGCAGTGCATGTGGGTGTAGTTAATTGCCACTGGCAACTACTCACTGTCCCCACAGACATAGGATGTTTATTTAGTGGGAAACTAATTTTCTGAGTCATGGACAATCTGCTTCTTTCATGGTAGCAAAACGCTTTATGTATTGCACTGCAGGCTCAAATCTGAAGCTGCAGTTCCCACTCAAGATAGCAGTTCTTTGATACTTTGTGAAATCATACCTTAAATCAGGAGATAATCAGAAAATATCTGTTAAAGAGATTAAATTATTTTGCTGGTCAATAAGTTTCTGTGCCTTGTAGCAGCATTGCTCCAGGTGAAAAAAAATAAGGGGAAATACACAGCAATTTAAAATAGACACATAAAAGACAATTGGCTATTTTCATGAAGAATTGAAAGTTATCCCTGTTCCCAAATACTCTGCTCATACAGAGCATCATGCAGATGCTACAATTCAGATTTTTAGCCTTGAGCATGAAGGTTTCCATCCAATAGCTCAGCTAAAGGAGAATTTAGCTGTAACTTGTTTTTCTATAGGTAGGTCTGCTATCCTGTTACTTTTTAGGTTTAGAATGAGGGTAGCTGAAAGTGATGTATCAGTAATGGAATTTATGGTACCAGCTGTCACTCAAACCAGAGATTGACTTACACCTGCACATGCATGTTGCAACATTGAAATTTAATGAGGATGTGCAATAAATGCAGGATAAAAATGTAAGAGCATAATAACAAATATACATTATTGTCATTTTCATTTTACCATTGCTTTTATTTGCAATGAAAAATCGCAAAGTTTCATTGCAGAGCTTTTACCCAGCTGATGACTGTTAAGGAAAGTTGTGTATAGATACTATTAATAATTTCTTCTAGGGAAGGTGACCAATGGCTAAAAATGAGAAGTGTACTGAGGCAAAAAATTCTGAAACCCGAAGATGTGGCTTTTTTCTCTGAAGGAGTTAATGAAGTTATCAAAGACTTAATTAAAAGAATCCACACCCTCAGAAGTCAAGAGGAGGATGGGGAAACAGTAACCAATGTTAACAACCTTTTCTTCAAGTACTCGATGGAAGGTAAGCCTGAGCTGGATCACATCTGTAAAGAAAATGTAAAAAGTATGTTTATGGTTAGATATTTCTGTCAAATGACTAGTGTCTCATTGTGATTGATCTGAAAAGGGAAGCTTGATATTCTGCCTTCATGTATCTTCCTAGTTAGTGCAGTAGGTATCAGTAGAATTCTTCTGTAGAGTCCAAAGAAATGATATCTTGTACTAAGGAACAATTCCCATGGAAATGCTGGTATATAGGTAAAATGTTCAATCAATGCATTGAACAGTTTCAGTACTCTATATTTTTTTATTCATTTCTCAAGAATAAGGATGTTTACCTTCTAATAGTGTGATT